TGATTTTAAAATCAATAACCCACCAGGACTATCTGTCGTTTTCTTCTTTGCAACAGCGGACGAAAGAAAGTCAGTTATTCTACAACGTTTCATGATTCTTTATCACTAAACATTAACAAACACTCGTTTTGACGCACTCCGTTCTGTAGCGTGTCTGCTGTTTAAAACAAACTTCCTAGCCTAATTTTGAGACTGGCTATGATGACAGAGATGGACTATGTTGATTTATTAATAATATTTTGTTTGGGATGAAAAAAAAGGAGAGTCCATTTCCCTAAAATGCTCCATCAGCACATAGTTCAGTGTGCGCGATGGACAGTATGGCTATGGAATTTACTAACCACACAATCCACATTTAGGTGATTAAGTCGCAAAACTTTATTTGCATTTGGTGGATTAAGTCGCAAAACTTTAGCTTCGTTTGGTGGCACCGTTTACTCTAGGTAGACGGCGACCGGTTTCGTTACCGGTTGGTACATTTCTTACAAACATTCAGCCAAAGGCCAGTGAAAGTTGAGACGGCAGCCGTGTTTTTATCGATGTTTGCCATCCTTATGTGTGCCATCGTAAAGGAATTGCGTTTTAATTTAAATCTCCGAACTTCTGAAGCGGACATATTCTATGAATGTAGGCTTGTAATGCAGGCTACAATTTAAAAACGGGTGGGACTCATTCAAAAATTCGAGGGGGTTCGCTAGAAAACAGGGGGGTTCGCTAGAAAAGGGGGGTTCGCCCGAACCATAAAAACCCCCCCTGGCTACGGGCCTGAATAATCAATTAATCTTTTCTATTAATGTATTATTAATCCATTAATATTTTCCATTAATACAATAATAATCCATTAATCTTTTTTATTAATTTATTGATAATAAATTAATATTTTCCAATAATCCATTAATGTTTTCCATTAATTTATTAATAATAAATTAATCTTTTCCATTAATCCATTATTCTTTTTCATTAATTCATTAATATTTTCCATTAAATTAATTAGCATTTTAAATTTGTTGACAATAGAACATCCACCTTAAATTTATATACTTTAAAAATATTTTTTTTTATTATGATTTTTATTATGGTAAGTCATAAATGTTCTAATGTGGAGTTGCAGCTCTAGAATATAAAATTTCCAGCAGGGCTGAAGAACAAAACGTGGTAGGGACTAGGGAACTAAGCAACCTTGTGCCTTGATAAATTGGGCAATTTTAGGCCATTTTAAGCTGTTCTGAGAAGACAACAATAATAATAACAAGCATGTATACTACTATCTGACTCGGTTGTTTGCATGATAGTAAAAATGTTACCTTTCAGAGTCTTCGTTTTTCTGAGTCCAAGCTTTCAGTGACCTGCTGTTACGTGACTGTTCAACCATAGAATGGTCACAGAACCAGTAAGGTACAGTAGTTCCCTGAATGATGTTGTTATGACAACAGCGAAAGCTTGGACTCAGAAAAATGAAAACTCTGAAAGGTAACATTTTCACTAACAATAATGATAATCATTATTGTCATTAGTTTGTTTCCTTCAATTCTAGTAATCAATAACAGTATTTGTTTTGTTTTGTTGTAAAGTTGCACACAGTTGTTACATTAGCGCTGGTAGGATTCACTCTTGGTGCTCCTGTCTTCAATTATATGGATCACTCCTACCTCCAAATGCTAAGGTGAGAACAAGTGCAAATCTTTGGGGGACAAGTTTTGGGGTGTGGGAGTGGAAGTTTCAGAATCCAGTAGCGGATTTAAGGGAGGCCCAGCCAGCCCAGGCCCTCTTAAATTTTCCATAGTAAAAAAAAACAATTGTATTAAAATCCTGACAACACCATTTCTGGCCATCTAGAGGTGCCAACCATGGTGGGGCTGAGGTGAGTGGATCCTCTATCAGTGATCCCTCCCTGGGCCTTCTCTGTTACGAAATTCTGGATCCGCCATTATGAGCAATAATGCTTCATGCATCCTACAAATTCTTATGAAGTATTTAAAAATTCAATATAATTTGAAGTTCTGTAGCATAACATCTTTTTCTGTATGTTTCAGGTACACTACTGCATTGACAACCATTGCATCTGGCCTGAGTTACATTCTCTCTAAAGATACAGTCAAGTTTTTAAGAAAGAACAAATGAACTTATCAAGATTTTTAAAAATGTATGATTATGTAGAGTGAAACCATTATGATGTGAAGATCTACCAAGCACCCTCCATTTCGAGACTCCTCTAATTCACGCTTTCAAAGAATCAATAAAAATCGTGTATTTTAACACAAAGCTAACCTCAACTTTTCATGTCCCTTGAGGGTATAATAAGCCTTTATAGATGAGATTAACTGGTTTCCTGAATCATTTAGTTGAGGAAAGTATTGTATAAAGTTTGTTTGAAAGGTTTGCTTAAAAATTTCCTGACCATCTGTATACTGGAATACCTACAGTAGTATGATATTCCCCACTAAAAGCATAACTGCCCTCAACATTAATTAAATATAAAATACGCTGTTGTTGACAATTATAAATTATAAATTAATAAATATAAATATGCAAAAGCTCTAGTTTTAGGAGTTTTAGCATACATTATGCTATATGTAATCATTTTCAAGGCAAAAAATCTCGGATTTCATTTCGAAATCGAATTAAACTACATAAGTCAATAATTTTTAAAATTGTGGTCAGTCCTGTAAATATGCTCAGGTTCAGTGGTTATGCTCCGCTTAGTGAATATGCTCAGTGAATATGCTTAGTTCATATAATATGCTCAACTAGGTGGATGTACTCAACTTGCTGAGCTTAGAAGGAGCTTGGTGAATGTGCTTGCGCTCAGGAGTGGACCAGCATTTTTCGTTAGTAGGGCTCAGGATTTTAAATTGTTTTAGTTATCATCCTATGTATGCCTCACTATATTGGGGCTGACAGATCCGTATTCGGGGGTGGTGGCGATTTGTGCGTACATACCCCTCCACCTCACAAACTAGGAAATTTACACGTTGCAATGCATAGAATGAACTGAATGTAAAATTGTGAAAGATTAAAAGAGTTTTTAATCTTTACGTTGAATTTTAAAGTAGTATCAACGTTTCAATTAGTATCTTCATTTGAATTGTCACTTTACAGTGTAGTACTATTAAAGAACACACCCGCCGCCAAAAACGATCGTCTATTCAACAGCGACGTTGATTTATGTCTATAAACACCTGATATAATCTAAAGCCACATGGACTGAGCGAGATGAACTGTGGTGTAAAAATAATTGCTTTCCCACTTGTGTTACCTACATAGGGTACTACGATGTCATATTAAAGCAGGTAAAGTTACAAATAAAACCATGTGTCTAGTGTATTAATTCATCATTGTTTAACTTTTATTTAACTAATAAACATGACAATATTGTAAGTTTACCAGTACGAAAAATGTATGAATTATGGGTATTCCATAATTATCGGTTATGTCCCTCTTCTTGTAATTGTTTAGCCTGTTATTAGGCACTGCTTTGTGGGTTTTGTTTGTTGGCAAATATGATTGCTGATCATGTGATATATTTTGTTTATATTTTGTTTTGTTGTTATTTTGTTAAGTACAATGTGCTCCCTGGTATACATTCTCCTGTTTGTGTCACAGATGCAT